CTTTAGGCTGGCAGATGGTTTATTCATTTAAATCCGACATTTCGACCGTGCGAGTTGTGATCTTTTTCAAGGAATTCAATATTAAATATTACGTCATCGATATTAGGAATTCGATAACCTTTGCCCATAATAAATGAAGATCTGCAATTTAGTAATATACATTTGTATACACCAACTATTGAGGTAAAATCTCTAATCTTAGTAATTAGAATTTAAGTAACGATTTTTGTCTCGAAACATTTTCTCGATTGAACAGAATTAATCGTTAATTTAATCAATACCAATAAGTCCGCGGAATAATACGCAAAACGTAGCAACAGTCACGGAACAAAGTAATGTACAATAAAATATTAAGTACGGAATTTTCCATTGCGTAGGCAGGCCAACGAATTCTCAACGTTTTTTTCTTGTTTTTCACTCGGCGCGGTGACGTACGACGTTACGCGGGCCAATGTTTACCTGAAGGTCGCCGCGTTATCAGTCGCTCGCCGAACGTCGTGCCGGCAGGCAGTGGCGAGAGTCGCTCCGTGTGTGGTATTACTTTTGCGTTATCGATTTCCACGACTCGATCGCGACGAATGTAGAGATAAAACGCTATCGATTTGTACACCTCTATCAGTAACAAGTAACGTTCCTCGATTAATTATTATGTTTCTACTTGTAATGAGAAACGAATCGCATGTTGAGGCGACGGCTCTTTATCAACGTATAGATATTTCACGAGACTAACTCATCTAAAATATGAATGTAAACCGCGGTACTTTGTCGCGGTTACATCTCGTTTACGCACCGCGCTTTTAATTATCTATCGATTTCGTGTAATCCGGTCTATTTTCGGGAAAAGAAAGAAATTTGTGCGATTTCGGCGTTCGCGCTGTAATTCGCTCTGTCGTTCTTCAACATTTCGTGCGTTTTGCGGTATCTCACATCGCGTACGGGAGTGCTCGAAATTTCGCGCGATCGGTAATTTTCGCGAGTGAGTGTTGTGTAAGTGCCACAAGGAAATCTGAGAGGAGGAGGAGGCCCAGGGGGCATCGGGCAACAACGGAGAAATCGGTGAGGTGAGTGTCTTACATTTTTCTGTTATTTGCTACTTGTGCAAAATAAAGTATCTGTTCTGTGTTTTTATTTTATTTATTCAAATGGTTCGGACGAGGATTCGAATAAGTGTTAGAGACAAAACCATTCGTATAAATTTTGTGAGATTATATTTAAAAGGAAGACTTTTTCAGTATTCTATATAATTATTATAATAAATACCTGTTTTTTAAATATAAAATATAAAGTATATTAATACAATCATTTCAATTTTACATAATTAGTCTATAATAATCATGTACATATTTGTATTTTTACAGTTTAATATATGCAGTTGACGATGTACCACTCTGTTGTTGCAAATCGTATCAGTGAATGACAAAGTACTTTTTATTTTAAATTGACGTTGCGCATACAATTACTTCTTTGCATGTATACAAGTTCTTACAAATACACAATGCTTGACTACAAACTGCGCGCGCGAAGCGCGCGTTTTGTCATTTCTAGTTCAATAAAAAATATTGCGTATGACAAATGTTCTACTGTGGTCGTCACATCGGATGGACGTGCCTTCTAACATAGTTCTCCAAGTGATGCCCAGAGATGGATGTCAAACGTCCTGTGTTTTTTAGTTTAATATCGATGACGTAATATTTATTATTAAATTCCTTGAAAAAGACCACAACCCGCCTGGTCGAAACGTCGGATTTAAATGAATAAACGATCTGCCAGCCTAAAGTCGTCTAGCAATTATTTTTATCGTTAATTAACTACTGGCGATTCACATTCTTTCGTTGTTAGAAATGAAGAATGATTATTCTTGAAGTTGAAGAATGCTCTGTAACGATATCTGTCATGCTTACATATTATGTTACGAATACTGCTCCCAGGGATGAAATTGCCGCGTTTGTCCATCAGTGTCCTATAGGTGTTGCAGGAACCTTCGTGAGCACATTAATTCTCGATACTCTTAACGACGGGTCGGGATTGAAAAATTCGTCGTTTTTACTACGCCCTTAATACGGCGTCGCCTACCGCGACGTGCGTGGCATATAAATACAAGAGTGCAGTAGAAGTAAAATCGTGGAAAAAGTTCGCGTACGTTATTCTGATTGTCGTGTACGATTTACTTTAAAATATCTATTATATTAGGTATATCATTTAAAATTGAATGCGTGACGAACTTACACTGCTTCGTGTTACCAAGTAAAATTTAATTAAACTAGACATACGAAATTACAAAGATCAGAAAGATTTTAGGACATGGAATAGTGTAAAAATAATTTAAAATTACTATAAAAATGTCATACTTGTAATATCGATCCAAATAACTGCCGTATTTTCATATAAATAAGTTTCACCGAAGATTTACCTCGAAGTGAAATTTATCAGCATAATCTTTTCAATCTTAAAAAAATACTACAACAGCGGAATAACAAGAGCGCCTTGGGAGGATTTGCGTAATTATGTGTAATAATTTTGAATATCGTTAGCATGGAAAGGCTCAGAAAAGGGCCAAAAGAATTTCGATTGATTTCTCTCTTCTCGACAAAGTCGGAATCACCAAGGGCTCCAAATAATCGCTTAGATGATCGCTTTTACGCGAGAAACAGAAGTTTATGATACAAGCCAATATACAAGCTCCGTTCTACGATAATTGTTGCAACTTACTTGCGCCCGTCTTGCGGCATCGGCGACGTGGACTGCACGTCCCTGTCCGACCGCGTGGCTGTTCTGCAAAAGAAAGCGACCGATTTGATATTCGTTCCGAATATTAATATCTAACGTATGGTACTGAGATCAGTATTCATTCTCGAGTAACAATATTCATAATTCTTACTTTAACTCCACATACCATTGTGGAAAGTATTACATGTGAATGTAAGAGCCACACTCTAATAATAAGTGTTTGAAATTTTAAACACTTATTATTTAGAGTGTGTAAGGGAATAAATTGCGAAACTATCGGCAGCAGGAGAACGTGCCGCTTTAGTTTCGTGAGAATTCTTTTACGGCTCCGTCGGGATTTATACGAGCTGTAAGTGACAGAAGCGACGAACGCAGCCCGCGGAAGAAGACAAATAAAAGATACGAAAATAAAAAGATCGACCCTGTCTTTAGGAGATCGTAAATTCTTCGCGCCCGTAGATATTTCATCGCGCTCGCATTCGCGTATACACGCGCAAGATAGATCATTCGGTATGATGTAGCGAAGAAAAAGCTCGACTTTTAGCGTTGCTTTTATTTTACGCGAAAGGACGATTGAATAAAAATTTTTACAAATGAACAGGAATCGAATAAGGAATCTGTGACGGAGAGACGCCTCTCGAAAATAATGTTCGCAAATCTTCAGCTTTCTACTGCGAGTGGGAAAGTTCGAAAAGGCAGCGTAACTTGAAATATAATTGTTAGAAAAATACGTGCAAATGTCTTTTAAAAATACTAGAAAAAAAAATTGAAGAAAGCAGAAAGAAATAAGTATACGGAGAGAATTTTCTCTTAAAATTTATCCTGAAAATCATGTAATCGTGAGACAACATGACATTACGAAGAATTTTATGAAAGTTCTTTGAAATTTTACTATATTTTTTACTAGTAATCATACTTAATATACATTTCACTAGTACAATGTATGGTCAAATTTAAAAAGACCCCTAAAATTCTTCAAAATACCATGTTGTCCCACGATTACATGATTTTCACGGTAAAGTTAAAAAGAAAATTCTCTCCCCGTGTAGATAACGTATGAAATTTTTATATTAACTTTTTATGAGATTATATTAATTTCTTGAAGAATTAAAACACAAATACTACATGTAGAATCACGTGCAACTTGCCCATCCGTAGGTCTGTTGAAACCTTTTACCTTCAAGCATAAAGACTTATTGTCACCAGTAAACAATTAACCAATGTAGGACAATCAACAAACGGCACAACTAGCAAATTAAAATTAGAGAAATGTATTGCGAAAAATATTACCTCAGCCAGAGTTTGAAACTGGACCTCCGTACACTCTAGGCGGGCGTCTCACCAATTCGACCACCGAGGCATGTACTTTTACCTTCGTATCGCGGTGGTGGCGCGAACGCGATACATTGTGACGTTATCAGTATTGCGGCGCCCACTTAAGAGTTGAGAGCGATCGCGAATTTCGGTACGCGGATGCGTGCGTAGCGAGCGTTAACCCGCACCGCGAACACGCGAGTGCTTACGTACTTACGTCGGCAGAAGCCAAGTCCCCTTGGAGTGGCGCGGAGACGGATATAATTGAAGGCGGAGGTAATTAACTCCCTCGTGCAATGCGCCGCGCCGGCAGCCGCTCACCGCATCGTTTTAATTACCGCTCTCGTCGCATTTCATCGGGCAGAAGCGCCTTCCCGCTTTGCTCCCTCCTTCCCGGAGGATCTTCATCATTCTCCGCACACTTCGTGTTTATAATAAATCCGATACTATCGGGAAGAGGAGAGAGAGAGGAGAGAGAGAGAGAGAGAGAGAGAGAGAGAGAGAGAGAACTGCTCGGATTCTCCAAAGGTGTTCCATAAAAAAAATCTTCTTTTCTTTACTGTCTAAAATTTTCAGGTGAAAGAGAGGAAAAGATTGCGTAAACTCAAATTAAACGTAAAAGTGCGATGAGAGAGTTGCGTTAGGTGCAAGCAAACGGCTAAACTTGATTTCGCGCTTGTTCCCGACTAAGCCTTTAATAGTTTTAATTTGAACTTCGTATAAATCTGCACGATTTGCACGGTGGTTGTCGCTAATAACGATAGGATTCAATTTCTTCATATTCGTCGGTAAACGTGTAATAATAAAAAAAAGAAGCGTGCACTCGTGCGCGCTTTTGCCGCGAAATGTAGCGAAAACGCAAGATGTATCGCAGATCGAAGGGCCAAACGCGCAGAGTTCACTTGATTACACACAATTAGCTTGTTTTATACATCGGCAAATGCGCGTTTGGATTGCAGGTGTCCTCGATCAACAGGGTACTGAGGAATCTGGCCGCGCAGAAAGAGCAGAGGCAGCAGCATCAACAGCAGCAACAAGGGGTGGGCGCCGTGGGGGTTGGCGTCGGTGCCGGCAGTCCGGCGGAGAGCGTTTACGATAAACTCAGGCTACTAAACGGACAGACCACCGGCTGGCCGCGACCCAATCCCTGGTAAAACTAACGCTCATCGACAGATAAATTACAGACTCGTTAAAACCGCATTATGCAAAACACGTGGCCTTTAATCGATGACGAGGATCGCTTTCCAATTTGTTCCCGGGTTTTCGTTTGTTAAGAAACTCTTAACTTCAAGCGAGACCATTGATTACGTAACGAATACGCGGGATAAAATTCCAGGACTAACTTGTGTAATGAAGTGGAATATAAATTTACGACGTTTCCTTCTGTCTGAATTTTTGAACAGATTATACAAGTCTTTGTCTCTTTTAAGATAATTTTCTTAATAGAATCTTATTTGTAAGCACGAGCGTGCATTTGCTAAGAGCGGTCGTTGTCTTACAATTAGGTATCCGTCGAGCGCGGGAAGTCCGTTTTCGTCGATACAATCTAGTTTGAGTCCGAGCCATTGTTCGTCCCTGCCACCGGATCCGGCGGATATATTGCACGCGAAGAAAGGTAAGTCCACATCTGAATAATTATTATGACACGCCTTCCGGCGCAGAATTTCCTCACGCTCGATCTTCCGATAACGCGGCTACCACGAAGAAGCGAGACTCGGGAATGTCCGATCGAGTTATACAGTTTGCTAGAGACGTCCCCGTACTTTTTGGCCGCGCGAAGGGCCTTGCACGACGAAAGCCTTCGACAATTGTTGGCGCACGATGTTCCGGCATGCTTTCTGTACTAAAGCGCTAGCGTGAAACGCAAATACGTGTGCGGGATGAGTGGCCACAGGCGGCAGGCGGGAGAGGTGCGTTTTAATTAATTAATCTGTCGGGCCAAACGATACTAATATCAATGTAATTCCGTCGGTGGGTCCCGCGGTTCGCCGCACGCGTGTGTGCAACGCTTTTCCGGTAATAATTTTCCGGTAACGTTTAAGCGCGGCCTTCGAAGCGTGGAGGAACAGAGAAATGCGAAACAAAACGGAACGAACGAGAACGAGAGAGCGAGCGAGCGAGAGAGGCAGAGAGAGAGAGAGAGAGAGAGAGAGAGAGAGCTCGGGGATGGCGGGGGGTTGCGCAGAAACATGGTTGCAGTCGACCGACCAACCCACGCGAAACTACTCCGCCACCGACGGCGTATTCCACCCCCTCGCCCCCCTTCCTCCCTGCTTACCCCCGGCGCGCGTTCTCTTTGGCGGCACATCAAACGCATGCGATTTCTTTCCCCCGCATTTTCCCGCCATTGCCACCGCTACAGCCCCGTGACGCAGGGTGCGTCAGGAGCAGCGAAGAACAGTCTCTCCCCGATCTTTTTTTTTTATTTTATTTATCGCGACGCTTGCCCCGTTGATCTTACCGATCGCGAGGAAAGACTCGCTCGCCCGCTCGCTTGTGTATATAATTCGGTGAGATGCGAGACAGCTTGCAATTATTTCATCAAGCGACACGCGATTGGAAAAGGGTCTCCGCCAACGTCCAAGTATTTTTCATAAGATGCGATTATACAATTGTGTGTGTGTTTTTTTTTAAGTAAAGTTCTTTCAACCGAGTTTAAACGATTGGCATCAATAGACAAGTCCAACTCATGTAAAGAGCCAGTGATAATAACAAAGGACATTTACATCTCGAATTGCATATTAATCGGCCTCTCGTAACACGGAAGTAGCAAAAGATAATTGTAGCATTTGCGGCTGTACACCTTGTAAATCAATAATAGATCGCACACACGAGCCACCAACAGGTTTTAGGTACCATTAATTATTTACGCGCTACGTGCTACACGTGAACTATATAAAACTGATTGCAACTGCATTAGGCACACACATGCACGCAGTATAATCGGGAATAGCCTTTTACTATCCGCCAACGGTATTAATAACGTTAATCCCGCGTAAAAATAACGCATATTATCGCGAGCGCAAGATCCTTGCGGTGCAAAACACAATTCCGTATTATTTCGCGGTAGGTACGGCATATTATTCCATATTCCGATCGTATAGAGGAAGATAGGAAGGGGGTACGCAATCAAATATGGTAACTGTTGCGAGCATTCAACCGCATGCGGGCCCCGGGGGCCGGATTATCGATGCGTTGCTGCGGGGGGTAGCACCGTTTATAGGATAACCCGTGTCAGGAGGGTTGTTTCTCCCCCTCGCCCCCTCGCGCCGCCGTCTCTCTTCGTCTTCCCGCCGACGTCTCGTCCTTCCCGCCTCTCGCTCACTCTCTCCTCGGGAGATCTGTCTCGCCCGCGTGTATCCTCCCTAAGTATCTCGACTGTTGTCGATGTATCGGTCGAAACGGAAGACCCAACGACGCCCCCGGCCAATCACGCGGCAGCCATCCCCCCGTACCTCGGGGAAAGCAAAGCGAAAGCAGATTACGGCGCAATCATCGCGCGAGCTGCAGGCGCCGCGCCGCTCGTTCCGCCTCGTCCTCCCGGCGAGGGGGGCGAGATTTTTCGATCGGGCCTGCTTCGTACCGCGCGTCTTAATCCTAGAAAGCCGCACACGGACTCGGACGAACCTTCGGAATTTCTACCTTGAAATTTTCACGCGATGTTAAGGCTATCGGGGGGTTTTTTTTTTTCCTTGAACCATGTACACTTATGTAGTGGAGCACGACCCATGCATTAACTATGGATCGATTTTTCTATAGCGATTGCTATTTTTTTCAAGACGATAAATAGATTCTAAATAGATTCTGGCGTATTAATAAATGCAACGAGGGAAAAACGCATAGAAGGGATGATTTTTTGTATCGACAGCGTCGAGAATGGAAGTTCTTGATACAACCTTCGCTTTTTTTTAACTAGAGAGATCATTTTAATGAATTAGCTACAACGCATATTAAAGCTAACCCTTCGTCGTTGCATCGTTCCAAGTATTCTCCTACGTACATGCGCTCTTCAAAGGGAGTTATTTAAGTCTTCAGCGGTTCTCCCGATAATGTCGATACTTTTATAACGCCAGCGGGAGAAGAACGCACTTTCTTCGCACTTTCTACAAAGAGTTGACGTTAAAAGACCCAGCCAGCAAGGGCGCAGACGGTACTTTTTAATTTTTTATATTTTCGCCGAAGAGAGCGCCGTTGCTACTTTCATTTCCTTTCCAGCGAGAAAGATATGGAAAATAAATCAACAGAACAAATTTCCCTTGAAACAATTATAATAGTCTGAGAAAAACAGCTGTAGTCGCCTTGAAAATAAGGTAATTCTGTCGCTCCTGCAAACTCTTTTTCAACGTCACTTAATTGCACAAGCAATTATACAGAATAATATGTTACAACGTATAATTACAGTGTATTTTGTTTTTACTTGTGCAATTTATTTGCACAAGTTTTCCGAAAGTCTTGAGAAATATCTTTAATCAAAGACTGACTTCTAAAAATTTAATTAGGATAGTCGACAAATAAGGACTATCTATCCTAAGGCGAAGTTTTAAATTTTCGCTGTTAGATTTTTGAAAAACGCGACTCTTCGCTTTTACCAAGAACGTCTACAATCTTCATACAAGGGTGTTTCATTTCCATAATGGATCGCGTCGTGTCTCCCACATTTTCAATAATATCGAGCGATCGGAACGTGGGAGATCGGTGCGCTGTTAATCCTCGGGACATTGTTCAAGAAACATACCCCCGAAATACAGTCAGTGTAGCTCAGATATCATCGCGCACAGTCCCCGTCGTGTTGTCTGGTGAGTCTGGTTCACAATGCATCCCGGGGTCGCATTGTACCGCGTTGCGCGAGACCAGACGACGTAGAGGCATGCAGAAGAATTTTCACCAGAGGGTGGCAAGGCGGGAACAAGCAGACGGGGAGGAGTGGGATAAAGGGAAGAAAGGGAGAAGACAGAGGGCCGGCGAGATAAAGCGAGAGAAGAGATAAGAGAGCGCGCGGAAAGGGTCTCCATCGTGATTGAGGCGAAAGGGGTTCGGGTCGTTGCATCCTTATTTTTTTCACCTCCAAACCCCGCTTGGGCGTCACTGCGGGAGAAACGCGGGATCTCGAATACCTTTCCGTGATTTCAATATCGCTGGTACGCGTACTATATACGCAACAACGTGAATGCATTATTGGCAATATCGACGATGAGAGGACCAGCGATCGCCGGCATATTATTTTTGCCAATAAAATGTCCCGTATTACACGAAGACTGCGTGCTAAATTCTTTTGACGCAACGGAATCGCATTAAGAAAATTCCAACTGCCGATTTTATCATAGTCAATGATTTTTTTTTCTCTCGCCATTCTTCAATCCTCGCCCGAGCCTTGATCCTGAAATACACCTCTAGCCACGCCGGTCTCGTCCTGGTCCCGGTCCCAGTCTCTAAAATGCGAAGAGTCAGTCGTAAGATTAAAGGTGGAATCCAGATGCGAGGACGATTGGTTCTGGATTTAATGGCATCTCACGCATTTAATCTCTCCAAGTCGCGAAAGGGTTAACGCGCTTTTATCACTAGCCTCCCCGCTGTACTTGGTACAGTGCGAGTCTCCCTCGCGAGTCTCCTCTTCTCTTTTCTGTTCATCGAAGGCGCGCGCGTATTCAGCCTCCCGCGGCATATTCGCCGATCTCCGCTCGAGATACAGAAGGTAAAACAATATAATAGCTGCCTGCTGCGCCCGGGTACCACGGGATCGAGGGCGCACTGGAGGCATTATTGTCGACCTTCTTTATCTCGCGAGCTCGACTTTCGCTCTCCATCAGTCATCCCTTTCGCTCCTCCTCTCTCCTTTGGTCTCCCGTGTTTTTTCTTTGTCGATCGACCAAATTTTCTCCCGGGTTAGATACGCACCACCGCAAAACGATGCGACGGCTTTTACCACCCACCAGCACAATGCGATCTGTCGTTGCCTCCGTTCTTTAAACCTAATACACGAGGAAGAAGAAGAAGAAGAAGAAGAAGTGAAAATCTTGAAATGAGATTATATTGCGTTAAAACAAGAAAAACTTACTTGAGTGAAGCAATTTTACATAATCCAATCAAGAAAAATATATATAAAAATATATGCTTAAATATATTATTAAGACTAATCTTCTTGAATACGAAGGAAACAATATTGGATAGAAGACAACACCTTTTCAAACCAATGCGAATCTACGAACGTCATTCACGTTGAAAACCGGTGTTCGCTCCCCGAAGGAAATCTTTAGAGTAGATAACGCGTCGACAGAGGGAGATTCCACGCGCGTTGTAAAAGTTGCATTTAGCACCACGTGCTTTCGCGTACCTCATCTTCTCCGCGCAAGTCGACCGCGGACCGATTTCTTCCCGTTTCCGGCTGCCCCCGCGGTCTCGATCGGAAAAACCCCCAGACGCCCCCGCCGTCGCATTTTTACGATTCGCGTTTGAAATTCGATAGACCAAGATTTCCCGGCATTGCACGACCCGGATATATCGCGCGAGACGTCGCAGATGCACACGTTGCTCCGTTCTATTTCAGAATTCCAGTGCTCGATACCACACCCTCGCATCCGACGCACGCATTACGTGGATAACGTATAAACAAGAATA